TTCTAGTGGAGGGTGTCCCTGCCCATGGCAGGGGGGGTTGGAACTAGATGATCTTTGAGGTCCCTTCCAACCCAAACCATTCGATGATTCTGTGATTTCAATTTCATTGAGTATCTGACTTAGTTTAGTAAAAGTTTGTGGCAGTCAAAAATCTGCATAAAAAATTAATAGATGCTTTGAAGAAAAAGGATGTAGGCATGTGGTTTTTAAAAACAAATGTATACAAACAAGCATAGTGTGAAAACAAAAAGAAATTGAACTCCCTTGTCCATTACTGAAAGAAGATACTGTTGTGAGACGATACGCTGATTCTCCTGTACAGGATAGGTGTATCCAGGCTGACTTGGGCTTTAGGAGCAGTCCAGCCATGGAAGTAGGGACAGATTTATCATCTTTCTCAGCAGACTCGATGTACTGTTTAATAATTGCTAGCTCAGCAAAATAAAGTAATGCGTGTGGAGCTCTCCTTTACTGGACTGTTTCGAGGACTCAAACTGGATGAGGTAACTCCAGGCCATGTTGTGTTACTGAAATGTGATGAAATAGCAGAATGACATTTGACAGAATGCTATAATAGCTGCTTAACTATCTCACATAATAGATTCAGTGGTGACTGGTGAGAAAGCCTGAGGAGAATCTGTAGGGATATGGAGATTGTAGTTACAGTGAATGTAGCACAAATAATTCATAGCGAGTAGTTCAAACTATTTCCTATATACTTAATTTAGTTTTAAGGTAACTTTTAAAAGATTCAGTTGAAAGTCTAGACTTACTACAATAAAATTTCAAAATTTAAAATAATATTTAATAAAATTAATAATTTAAAAATTATTCACTTGATTTGTTCATGTGTGAGCAAAACCAGTTACAGAAAAAGAGAAACCCCAGAAAACTACATATGTTGATTTGATGGAATATTACTGGAATGTACAATGTAGTCAAGTAAATGAGTATTTTCTCGTTATGTCATGCAGCCACAAAAATTATGTAGTCCCTTATGAAGTGTTCAGAAAAATGCCACGGAAATGAAGCATGGCAAAGGTTGTAACTCGGATTCGGAGTTCAAAAACCTGTTTTGTTTTTAGAGGAATACTTTTATATGAGCAACATTAATTACAGCAGTTTGTGTTATTAAAGTAAATGGGCCTTAAGAGAGGTGAGTAATCACTGTAATGATTAGTTTCCCTTAAATTTTAGGGAAAACTTTCCAGTGGAGTGAAGTTGTGATTTTTATTTTTTTTCTTTAGCTGCTTGCAAGAGGTTTTCTGTGAAGCAGATGGTACTGACTATCCCTCTCCTCCTTTGATCTAGTATTTCAATTTCAATGTTATGTATACTTCTGTACATACACACACAAAACTGTATTTCATGTTATTGGACCACTGATATTTCTCTTATGCTATCAGTGAAAAGGTGGTCATGTTTTCCTTGGATCCCATGGTGAATTGTTGACACTCTAGACATTCATCTAGAATTTATCCTTAGAGAGGTCAGAATTGTGTTTTATGTTCTTCAGTTTTGTAAATCTTGCAAACTTGTACCATCTCCAGTGAAGTTTTGGAGCCAGCCATTGATAATCCTAACCCTGCTATCTTTTAATTGAGTCTTGTTAATGGTCGTTCAGAATCTTCTGGGAAGTTTTGAATAAAGTACATTCATTCAACTCTGAGCAGACTTCAACATGTAAAAAATGATGCAGCAGAGGAAATTCGGAGATAATTTCCAAGGATGGGGACTTTGGGTGAAGAGTAGATCTTCATCCAGAATATCCAAATATGATATAAATAAGTTGGCCTTTTGATGGAATGACAGTGTTTATCAGGACATTGTACGTTGTGTACCAGAGGGATCAGGTGATTAGCAGGCACAAAAAGATCTGATTGCTAACTGGTTACCAAGATTGGTTCCGAAAGTATCTTAATAGGTTTCTGGAGCAGCTGCCTGTATTATTGTATCCTTAGTTTGCCAGTCATGGAATATGAAGCTTTTGATGTTTCAGTTCAGGTGATTAAAAAAGCCTGTTCTTTATGGGATTGGAAGTATTCCACAAGTGTGTTTTGTGTATGAGTGTTTTATTGATTTCTAACTTGAAGGCAGCTCTCCTGGGCCACAAAGTCCAATTTCAGAAGCAGACTTAAGTCTTGTGACTCTTTCAACTTCGTTCTCTTAGGAAAACAAAGAGAAAAATGAATTAAAAAAACGTTCTTTTGTTCTGACAGAAGAGTTACGACCTCTTCAATTAGTGGTCAGTAGTAAAGAAAATTACCCACCTGGCACACACATACTAGGTTAACAAACTCTGGGGAGGAACTGCTTGCCGAAATATCAATGAGATTTCAATGATCATAAAAAAAAAAAAATTAAAAAATCAGTATCTGGTAAGTAGAAAATGCCAGAACAGACAGAGCACATCATGATGCTGAATAAGAACACATATTTCTGCACAATGGCTTTCCAGAGTTTTTATAGGTTGGAGATGTGAAGTTCACTGGACCACGTTAGTGTAAAGTGTGCAGCCCAGGGAAGATGACATCTAGGAATCCATTGCACCTTACATTGCCTGAAGACGTTAGATCAGTTCATTCATCAGCACATGTCCTTAAACTTTCCAGTGTTGTCTTCTGGACCCCACTTCAAGTCAGGACAAGCTCTTTGCATAAATTCTGGATGGTTACGCTTCACTGCTTTATTTTTGGCTGGTAAAGCAACCTGGATAAAAGTTGGTTTTCATTGCTGAGGTAGTCAGTGCTACTGCAGAAATACTTCAACAAGAAGGAAAAGGGATTTGTCAGTAAATAGGATTTGGTGAGGATTTGGTTGGACAACTTTTGTGATTCAAACATCTTCTGTGGTGTCAACTTTTAAAAGCTAAATTTAAGGTGATAAGCTAATTTAAACTTTAAGCAACTTCTCAACGTCTGTAACTTCACCCTCTGAAAAAGAGAGGAAATTGGTACCTGTAAAATGAATGGAGGGATATGTTAGCTTAAGTTCATAAAAGGGAAGGAGGCCATTTTTACTTGGCAGAATACAGAAGAGGTATAGAGGAAGGGAGAATTATACTGTGCTATAAAAGCTATTG